AAGGTTTAAATCCTAGGTGATGCGAAGAAAATTCGTGATAGATAAGATGGCGTATGCTCTCCAAAGCAAACAGTACACACGATATAACAATTTGGGTACACCTGTCATTTTATTACAAAAAACACATTTCCGAGCCTGTATGCCTATGCTTGGATCGTTATAAAATGTATGATTGGAATGATTAAAATTGTAAGCTATAATAAATGTGTTTTTAAAATTGAAATTTGATTAGTTGAAAAGTTGATATTATATCAAACAAGCTGCTAATAAATATGCCTGCGCAAATTTCATGCTAACATCCAGGAGATGACTACAGTTGGAACCAAAGGAGATAACCAAAGTGTTGAAATCACTCAAATTGATACAATTTTTGAAAAGCCAAAAGAAGTTTTTGAGATCTAAAAGTTGCTTCTGAACTCGTTTGACTAATTTTATGAAAGTATTACTTCTAATTAGAAGAGTTTTTAGAGGAAGTTAGTCCAATATGACTTTCTCTAAAAATACTTTCGAAATAAGATGTTCTTTTATAAATAAGTTTTCAAATAAAATTTAAGACAATTTCCTCCAAAAACTCTTCTATATGAAGTAAAAGTCATGCTAAATGGGCCCTTAATATTGTATTAAAACCCATAAAGCTCCATCAAGCCTTGCTTTAAAGTAAGTGTGCTCATAAGAATGCTATTCCTAGTCGTGACTATCGAATTTCGGGGTCTTTGCTGAATTGCTGTTCAAAATTTAGAGATTTCGAATTGCTTTAAGGCCTTAAGGTTTTCACTGGGTTGTGTAAGGATGTTCTCAAGTATACTATACCTCTGCTGCGGACATAGTTATACTGTACCTCTTTTCCATGCCAGGGATTTCTCTAACTTGTAACCGTTGAAAAATCAAAAAAGAAATGGATCTGAGTTCATATGTATAATTAGGAAGTGATATTTAGTTATTTTGTTTGCAGAGTTACACAATGATAAATAAATTGAAGTTTGTCACTTGTTGCAAAACTATGACTTAATTATTGAGAGTTTGCCTGTGTTCTTAGAAGTATTCAAAATTTGTGGCAAACAAAAAGTCGGTTGAGAATTATGGTACAAAGGAAGTAGTCTACATGTCGTAGTTTATTCCTTGATGTCGAGCTTGCACGTGCTTATTCCTAAACATTCATTAAATTAGTATAGTTTTATATCCATTTACAAGTACGGTACATATTTTGGTAATTGTTAAATATAAGTGAAAAGTTATTTGATTGATGAGATTTTGATCCAATTTCTCGTTACATCATCTGTTGCTAAATCATTATACACGTAGCACTATCGAATTAATTGTAGTAACACTTATTATTAATTTATTAATTAATAATAACTCGTAAGGTAACCGGGATTATCCGGTTACTGTCCCCCACCGACACCCGTCACCGGTCACCAATTCACACAAGAAACACTGCAGCCTTCCTTCAAAATTGGATTTTTCATGTCAACTCATTATGCTACAGTGCATTAGATTTAAAAATTAAAAAGGTACATCACAGATTGTCAGAATTTAATATATCTGACATGGCCCGTTGGAGATGATTATGGACGATTTTACCCTCATTGTCTCACTCAAATATCCTCAAAAAAATATATGGCAAGGGCATAAATGAAAATCAACTTTTTATTTGTGGTATATCCGTACACAAGTCAATGAGAACTGAGAAGTGCTGTTCATGTCTTAAATGTTCACTAAATTCAAACATAGAGTCCCTGTTAAACGTGCGGTAAATTAGGGCTGTGCGGTGTCACCAGGAGGGAGGGCGGTGCCCCCATGTATACACAGCATTATTCTTTTAAATTCCCCCGCACTCCATTACCATTTCCCATAATTGCACTTATACATACACATTCGCACATATATAGAGAGAGGAACACTGCGTGCTAGTGTGTGAGGGAGAGATGGAGGAATTTGGGCATTCGAAGCTCTTGAGAGATTGCAGAAGCTTCGGTAAATTCTAAATATACCTTGTACTATTTTTCCTTTTTACTACTTCCGATTCTGCTTTACATTCTTGTTTTTATTGATTTCCTGAAGATTAAAATATATTATTTTCTCAATAGTATTCATGAAATACACCCTGATTACGATAGAAGAAACGTTCAGAAATGAAGTTGAGATCATGAATAATTAAATGTTTATCTTATAACGTGTTTATTTTCTCACATATTCTATGTAAGATCAGTAGTGAAAAAAATGTTAGTTTGAATACTTAATTAGGGAAAATGAGCATTAATTGCTTTGAACTCTCATCGTTTTACATTATGATTTAACAATTTTTGAAGTCAAATTCCAGCTTTCATCAAGGAAAATGAGGTCCAAACATGATTTTCCTTTCAATTTCGATAATATAAAATTGTGTTTTCACGAATTTAGAAAGTAGACCGACTTAATGAAGCAAAACTGAGGTACGAACACCATTTTGCTTTCAATTTTGATGGTTATTTTCAACTTTCACTGTCCTATGGTTAAGGTCCAATGATAATTGGGGTGACGGCATTGCAAGTTCATTCATCATACAAGTGTATAATATCATGTGTCAGACCAACACATTTACGAATTTAAATCATTAGAGAGGATAAATATTTATTCAATTTTTCCCCCTACCAACACGACAGTTGACTTAAATTCCTACTGAAGAGTTATTTTTAAAAAGCTTAAAGTTGATGATATGTCAATAAATAATGGGTGGACAACAACTTGGACAGTAGATCTCAACTCGTCAAATGAGTTGAAATCTATCGTCCAAATTTGGATGTCTAACCAATGATTCATTGACAAGTCACTTTAAATAAATATATTCAACTTTTCTCTTACTACCATTTATGGTTAAAAATAAGTGTAAAATGATGTGTCAAAAAATTATTAGTGGACAGCTAACTCATTTACGAATTTAAATCATCAGAGAGGATCAATATTTTATTCAAATTTTTTTCCCTCAACACACGACGGTTGACCTAAAATTTCAATCTAAGATTTGTTTGACAAGATTTTTGATAAAAATTTTAGTAGATTTTGATAAAATTTATGAAATTTGTTATTTAAAAGTTGATAAAAGTTATGGATCCTATGATATGTATATTTAAAATTGAAGTTTGGCTAATTAAAAATTTTATCAAAAATCTGCTAAAAATATGTGCTTTCGCAAGTTTATGCTCAAGGAATGACAGTAGTTGGAGCTAAAGGAGAAAGGCTAAGTGCTGAAATCACTCAAACTGGCACAAAATCACAAGAATCAAGCAACAAAATTACCAAGGGTGAGTGGTTGATTTCTATAGAGAACTTTAAGGTTGACAAAACAACAAAGAAACCCGAAATAGAAAGGGTTCCATCACTGCTACGTCAGAGTAACTCAGACGAAAATTGTTATGATCCTATTGTAGTTTCGATAGGCCCTTATCATCATGGAAAGCCAGGGCTCGAAACATTTGAGCAGCTAAAAATTCCAATCGCGCAGAAGTTGTGTCGTAACCATTGTAATCAAGTATCCATCGAACAGTTATACGAAGAGGTGGCAAAGGTGGGTAAAAGTGCCCGCGAATGCTATGCGAAAGTCTCGACTGATGACTGTGATGATGAATTGTTCAACAGAATGATGTTTCTTGATGCTTGCTTTGTTCTTCATTTTATGTTCATCTTAAACGTAGGAAATGTTTCCAATGGGACATATAAGGAACAAAAAGTAGATCCACGACTGTACATGGGTTACTACCAAGGTTTAATAGGTAGTGACTTGTTCTTGCTAGAGAATCAAATTCCGTTACTAGTACTAAGAGTTTTGATGAATTTCATGTTTGATAGTGATCAAATCCAGAAAGAGTTTATTCAGAAATTCCTTGAAAGCCAAAGCATAAGTAAATCATGGGACGATTCAAAGGAATTAGATTTGGATGGAAGCCACATCATAAGTAAATCATGGGATGATTCAAAGGAATTAGATTTGGATGGAAGCCACACCATAAGTAAATCATGGGATGATTCAAAGGAATTAGATTTGGATGGAAGCCACACCATAAGTAAATCATGGGATGCTTCAATGGAATTAGATTTGGATGGAAGCCATCACCTTCTACATCTAATATGGAAACGTCTCGCTGTCAGGCCAAATACGGATGGAAGCCATCACCTTCTACATCTAATATGGAAACGTCTCGCTGTAAGGCCAAATACGGATGCATCCACTGCCACAGAAGAGTGGGAATCATTTCGTACGGTAACCGAGCTCAAATCAGCAGGAATTCATGTCAAACCAAGTCGAACTGGAATTCTTACTCATGCAGAGTTCAAATCTCGCCTTACTTTTGGTACTCTTACACTTCCTCGAATGTTCATTGACGATTCAACAAAACCTTTGCTATTAAACTTGGTGGCTTATGAACTGTGTCCCTATGGCCCTCCTGGTTTGGGCATTACGTCATACATTTGTCTAATGGATTCACTCATTGATCATGCTGATGATGTTCAAGAGCTCAGGAAGAGAAAAATTCTTGGCAACTATTTGGGCAGTGACCAAGAATTGGCACAATTCTTTAACAAGATTGCTAAAGATTTGGTAGCTGATGAGACTATATATGCAGAAGCTAAGCGGATGATTGAAATTCATTGCCACAGTAAAGTACAAGGCTGGATGGCTGAATGGATGCACAAATATTTTAGCAGTCCTTGGACTCTCTCGGCTTTTCTAGGTGCAATTCTCATCCTTGCCCTTACTATGGCACAGACATATTTTGCTGCTTATACGCACTATACCTCAGAACGCAAGACTTCCTAAATCAATGTTCTTGAATAAGCTCTTCAGTTGCAAAAGTTTGTTCTTGTTTTGTTGTGTGTTCTTAATTCTATGCTGGTGCAATAATTTTATCATGTTCCATTGTTTTGAACCGGTCCCTGATTTTTCGAGTTGAAGATTCAACTCTTATGATATTGCGAAATACTAAATGAATGATGATTACAAAAAATAAAACTAATCTATCAAGATTTTATAATAACTTGCACTTCCACCTTCCATGGCAAGATGGCAATTCTTTCTGGATCCAAAGTGGTACTGAACTCGAATTACAAGTTACTGTTAGTTTAATTCCATAAGCTAAAGCACATTATTGAAGTTATCAATAACCTCATACTTATTGGAAATGTCTAAGTTGTTGATCCACGCATTCCATATTACCCACCTTACAATTACACAAGGCTTTACCAAACAAATACGAAATCCGAAAATGTGTGTATTCCATCAATATTGCGGGAGATTGAATCCAACAAGAAATGTTATGATCCTCTTGGTGGTTTCAATAGGCCCTTATCATCATGGAAAACACGAGCTCGAAACATTGGAGAAAATCAAAATCGAAAATTTCTCAGCAATTTGTTCATGCCTGTAGTGATCAGTTATCGATCAAAACAGTTATATGACGAGGTAGTGAAGGTAACTGACAGTGCCTGCGAATGCTACGAAGAAGGCTTTACTGAAATCTATGAGGCGAATCGTTCATCAGCATCATAATGATGTTTCTTGATGGTTGCTATATCCTTCAGCTCATGTGCATCTTAACAAATACAGAAAGTAATGGTTCAGATGATACAGAAACAGAGCCAGAATAAGTTGATTCAAACCTTTGCTATTAAACCTGGGGGCTTATGAAACTAGTCCAATGGCCCTTCTGACTAGTGCATTACGTCAAACATTTGGCTGATGGATTCACTCATTGATCACGCCAAGGATGTTAAACAGCTCCGGAAGAATGAAATTATTCTCAAACAATTTAGGTAGTGACAAACAATTGGCGCAACTCTTTAACAAAATAGCTAATTATCTGTTGCCCGATCATTGCCCTTATGCAGATGCTAAGGACCTGATTGAAAAGCACTGCAAGAAGGAAAGACGAGTGTGGATTGCTGAATGGATGCACAACCATTTTAGCAGTCCACAGATTGTCTTGGCTTTTCTGGGCGCAATTTTTGCCATTGCATAGAGCCTAGTACAGACATATTCAGCTGTTTTCCTACGTAAATCCTCATAAGACAAGCTTTACTAAATCAACCTTGTACAAGTTTTAAGCAGAATGTTTTATGTTGCAACAATTCTTTCTTTCTCATATAGAGTCCCTATTTTATTTCCCTCTAAAATCTTTCTTGGACTTTGAGTCAAGAATAAAACAGTGACTTATTCAGCTACTATATCACAATTCATTCATTCACGGCTTCACAGGCATAGCTGTTCACAGAAGGTAAACTTCAGCGCACCAACCCAAAGTATATGAAGTTATGAACGGGCCTTCTTGAGTTACAAAAGCATTCTGAAGCAAGAACACTAGTGAATGCAAGTTTGAGCCTTCACTGTAAATCACCTGAAAGGGATTTATAATTGAGGAAATTTCCTCACTAAGCAAGAAGCAAAATTCTATGTTCCCTTAGCAAGTTTTGAAACAGTCTACAATAATTGCCATCTTCACTGCCGCACTATCCTACATATGAAGGCAATTCCATGCACACAGGTCTTAGGAGTTCAAAAGTAGCACTAATTCCACCAAGCATGGATTCTAACATCCAAAAAGTAAAAGTACGTTGCTAGCAACCCTGTTGCATGGACACTTTAACTAGGGTGACGTGTCCATGTCCGACACTCCTCGGACGTTCTACCTGTTCATTTTTCTTTCTTTATATATTTTTATCTCAAAATTATTATTAAATAACAAATAGGTACTCATGTTTAAAAAATTTCAACAAGAAAAATAAATAACAAATATAAAATAAAATTATATTATATAAATGAAGTATTTTAAAAAATTTAATCAGCATGTCGAGGACGTGTCTATCAGTACTTTTTTGAAAAATGGGTGTTAGCGTGTCCGATACGTATTATGTTGGACACACGTATCCGTTCATCATAGGCTAGCAATATTAAACGAGTCAATAGTAGAAACAAAAAAGATTATAACTATTTTTCTATTATTTTATATTGTCTAGTAGAATATTGTGTACTTCCCCAAATAAGCACCAAGTATCAAAGGCCACATAAAGACAGCAGGTCGAAGAATGAAGTACAAGACAAAGATAAAGATCATTGATGTTGATTGTCGATTGAATATTGTTGCATTAAGTGACGATGTTAACGATATCAAAAAAAGGGACGATATTAACACTTACCACAATAAGATGCACACTTGTGACTTGTTTCTAACGTTAGATATTATGCTCATAACAACAGCATCTCTTTATGCCCCAAAACACGAAACTTTAGGATTATATGAAGATAATAGAGACAAGATGAACAATTCAAGTAGAGAAATACCATTAGACTTAGCTGGTCGAGAAAATGAAATTAAAAGCTTGTCCAAAAGATGCCGGTGAACTTAGCTGGATCAAAAAATTTACACATGTATGGAAAGACGTGAACATATGTTCTGTAGTTATGTACAATGATAAGTTCAAACAACTTAATCCCTATCTCAGAAAGCAGAAACGTGAAGAAGATGCCATGAAAAGCAGCCAACTCAAATTGCATTTACCTAAAAGGTCAAAACAATAAACAGATACCGCATATTGGGTTGACATACAGGGAATGGAAATTGTTGTTTCTCATTTTTTATCTTGTACTAAATTGTTGATGATTTTTGCCAAAGGAACAGTGCCTTTTGCCATGATCTTTGTTGAAAATAGGACTCCAAATCACCTAGAAACCGGGCTCAGTTTCAACCCAATCGACACCACAATCACAACCAATGGAACCACAACCTATCTTCCCAATCTGGTTGCTTTCTTGACTACCCACAAAGGGCAACGGGTGATGAATATTCAAGGCACAATAACCAGCCACAAAGGCTAAGAGAAAGGGAGAAGAAGATGGCACAAAGCCAAAGGGAAAGCACCAAGCCAATCAATCTCACTTCTCTCGTCTCTTCTCTTCTCTACACGGCTGCCCAATCATACTCACACCCTTAACAACGGGGCACACATATATAAAGGTTGGATATAGGCTCTTAAGGTTAGGCCCAATAGGAAATAATAAGGCCCAAAGGTACCAAGTAAATGTGTTATCAACCAACAAGCCCGTCCAAGGTAATGGGCCGGGCCATGAGCAACACTAACTAAATTAAGCTACTGCCAATGGCCCAAATAGGTTGTAGTAATGGTTTGTTCGATTGTGGTGTCGACACTTCACTCATCGACCGAAGGCCTATGAAGTAATCCAAATACAAAACACGGTTTAACATCATTGCCCGAATTTATTGGGTATCAAAACCCAACAATCTCTATCCTAAAAGTATTGTTGGCATGAGCAAAAAGAGAAAGTCCAAAAAGTATGAGATTGGGAAGAAATAGTCGAAATGATAACACCCCAATCCAATAATGAGGTTCCAAGTCGAAAAATGCATTAAAAAACCTTCGGGTCTCTTGTAAATCAAGCTTGAGAAGAATATCCATAACAAAACAAAAGAACTCTCTCTGGCATCTCCTTTCTATTGGCCACAATTCCTTCCAAACTTCTGCCGAAGACAATTCCGAACCAAAGGGCATCTCTCAGAACCTAGGTATTGAACTATTGCATTGGCTACAACTGGAGCTGCAGCTAGAGTCCCTGCCACCATCTACCCAGTTGACGGGTGCACCATCCCAACTGTACTACCAATCCCAGCAACTCTTCGAGGTAACACTAGAAGAGGGTTCCCCTTTGGAATTACACTGTGCTCATCCTCCTCAATGCTTTTAACTTTTATACCTAAGTGACTGAACCGAGCTACCATCCTTTTCTATCATCCATAGGTACTCCAGGACGAGCTATAGGGATGTTTCTTCAAGGAATATTCTTTTCGATGAAAATGGCATTGCATAGAGAAAAGTTGGAATCTTCTTATTTCTCTCCTTCATTTCTTTATTATTGTTGAGGTGCGAGTCTCAACAATTCATGAACACCATTTTATTTACATCAAAACGGGTTCATCCACTTCTCCCAAAGATTCCAACTTGATTGCCTGGATTATATGGCTTCTCATACTGAACAAGACATCTGGAAAATCCTGTCGCATCAAAAACCACAACAGCCTGAATAGTAATACCATCGTTGCAAAACAACAAAGATTTCGATTTGTCATGAATTACTTTCACAATCTTGGCTTGATGAAATTTAACGCCATTCGAAATACCGTCAATCTCTCTGTACAAGTATAGACTTGTGACATAACTTTGGTTTAACATATACCCCTTAATATTTTTGCTTGTTCAAGTTGAATTTTAATATTGTACTAAAGCTCGTCTAGAAATCAAGTTGTAATTCTTTTTTAAAATGTGTAATGAAAGTGCTTTGCTCATTAAAACTAGTGCTCTCGTTTGTTTGAGGATTTTCCATCTTGTAATTTTTTTCATGAAATCTATTTAGCTAGTTACCAAATTAATGTATCTTAAGCTCATACATATCATACTATTTGTAGTTTATGTTTTGTTTGCTTGCGGTCAAATTAAGAGCTCATTTGTAAGAGATTTTTTCAAGTGTGTATAATTTTTACAAGGAAATTAAAATTATGAGTTCCATAACATATGTGATTGAAAATGCTTTTGAGAATAATGATTTTCAGAAATAATTTTCCAAACAAGCTCTAAAGATATTGCTTGATGCTTGTAATCCTACTCGACTTTTCAATGTATTTTAATCAAGGACGGAGCCCGCCCTTCAAACTAGGAGGGTCCCGGAGTTGAAGGGGCGGGGGCTCGCGGGTGTTCGGGGGCAGTGTCCCCGAATTTTTTTTTTTAAACATTATCTGTTAAAATTGGAAAAGT